GCCGTCCCTGGGCAGGGTTGCCCGGCCCCGGCCCCGGCCCCGGGCCCGCGCTCCCCATGAAAAACCAGCTCCGCGGCCCCCCAGCGCGGGCGCACATGTCGGCTTCGGGGGCGGCGGCGGCTGGGGGCACCCGGGCGGGGTCGGAGCCGGGTGCGGGATCTGGATCGGGCGCAGGCATCGGGGCGGGAGCGACGACGGGAACCGGGGCCATGCCTTGCAAGAGCGCCGAGTGGCTACAGGAGGAGCTGGAGGCGCGCGGCGGCGCGTCCCTACTGCTACTCGATTGCAGACCGCACGAGCTCTTCGAGTCGTCGCACATCGAGACGGCCATCAACCTGGCCATCCCGGGCCTCATGCTGCGCCGCCTGCGCAAGGGTAACCTGCCCATCCGCTCCATCATTCCCAACCACGCCGACAAGGAGCGCTTTGCCACGCGCTGCAAGGCGGCCACCGTGCTGCTCTACGACGAGGCCACGGCCGAGTGGCAGCCCGAACCTGGCGCTCCCGCCTCGGTTCTTGGCCTGCTCCTGCAGAAACTGCGAGACGACGGCTGCCAGGCCTACTACCTCCAAGGTGAGGGCAGAACCTATACCCCATTCGGCTTTGGGGTCCCGCCACCGCTCCCTGACGCTTTCGCTGCAGGCTGTTTGCTCTCTGCACGCTTGGCCAGGCCGGGCGCCACGTTTCCCCTGGCCCGAATCCGCTCGCCTGAGAGCCATCCCCCAAGGTCTGGGTTTAGCCAGGCACAGGAGACCTACTCTGTGCCCTCTCTCAGTACACTGCTTACATGGGTGAAACAAACTTTTACCCGCCTGGGGTTTTCTTTATTTTTATTTTATTTCTTGTTGACGGGAAGACAACAGCGCACCGGTTCTAGCTGAGCTCCACCTCCGTGGAGACCGCCTACTGGAACCCAGAAAGGAGCAAGGCCCCTAGGCTAGCGTGGAATTCGTGTCATTGGAAGGCTAGGGTCAGAGAGGGCACCTTTCCTAGTGTCATCCAAGCTCCTGTGCGTAGGGACCGTTTATATTGGTGTGTTCGGGATCCCAGTATGGCCCCTGCCATCCGGGAATGCAGCTTCTTGAAGGCACTTGGTTAGGATGTGGGCAGTGGCCACTGCTCTGGCCCAGGTATGGGGGGGAAGGTGGTCCTCAGTCTGTTGCCTCCGAGCATTTAGGAGGTGGAGGCAGCCAGCCAGGGGGCTAGTGGCTGCAGCCGGTGTTTCCAATTAACATTCCAAAATGGCCTCTTGCTGGCAGCAGACAGACAGAGGGGAGGGGAGGCCTGCGGCACCCGAGGGTGCCGCAGGGCCCATACCTAGCTGCATTGCACTCCTTGCCTCTCCTGTCCTTGTATAGCCCCCATGACTCTGCTCCTCTGGGAGTTCTTGTGTTGAGAGAAGACTCCAGAGGAAAGTGGATCACTGGTACCGGTTTGATGAGCCTCCCTCTGCTGGGGGAAAAGGACAAGCAGTATCCTCACACCACCTTCCCAGAGTGTGGTTGTCCAAGTCCTCTGAGCCTGTCACTGAGCCAGATGCTCATGGTTATTAGGTATATGTGGGAGCTGCAGAAGAGGAATGAGCTGGGGCTTGTCCGCAGGTGCTCTGTAGCAAGTAGTGTGGCCACAGGCCCTGATGTGTTAGGAGAAAGGGAGAGAGAGTTTAGGCCTCAGTTTACTCATCTGTGAAGTGGTAATAGTTAGATGGTAAGAACACATGGTACAGGTGTAATGTGTCTGGCGTAGCCCACATTGTCCATTGGTGGTGTGGCCTTTGTCATGGGGGATCCCTGGCCATTGGTGTTCTTGTATGGCCCTTCGGACTCACCAGACCCCGTCTCACCCTGGCCACAGGTGGTTTCAACAAGTTCCAGACAGAATACTCTGAGCATTGTGAGACTAATGTGGACAGCTCGTCCTCCCCCAGTGGCTCACCACCCACCTCAGTGCTGGGCCTGGGGGGCCTACGCATCAGCTCTGACTGCTCTGATGGGGAGTCTGACCGAGAGCTGCCCAGCAGTGCCACCGAGTCAGATGGCAGCCCTGTGCCATCCAGCCAGCCAGCCTTTCCGGTCCAAATCCTGCCCTACCTCTACCTCGGCTGCGCCAAGGACTCTACCAACCTGGATGTGCTTGGCAAGTACGGCATCAAATATATCCTCAATGTCACACCCAACCTGCCCAATGCCTTTGAGCATGGTGGTGAATTCACCTACAAGCAGATCCCCATCTCTGACCACTGGAGCCAGAACCTCTCCCAGTTCTTCCCCGAGGCCATCAGCTTCATTGGTAGGTGTCTCTGTGCACTGGGTTAGTGGGTGGGCGGGCGGATGCAGCAAGGTGTGTGAGGGACGCTGGGTGTCACCCCTGCCCAACTGGGTACCTCTGGGCCTGTCAAGACCTGTGTGCACTCTGCATGTGCAGACCTGTGCTGGTGGGTGTACCCTTGCTATGACTCACTGAGTCCCTCGGGCCCCTCTACTTGTTAGGACCTGAGCAGTCCCCCAAGTCCTAGGCTCCCCCAGCTGTCAGCACCTCATGGACTCTGCTGTCCAGCCTGTGTTTTCCTGGTTCTGTTGTTGTTTGGGGCCCAGTAAGTTGAAATATCACAGCTTGTAGACTCCCACGGGTCTCACTTGCTCTATATCACGCCGCCTCGGCACATGTGTCTCTCCAGGATGGGACTGTCACGATGCTTGCTTCTTTGGGCTTTTGTGAATCTCAAAGGACTGGAAGATAGCCCTGGAGCCAAACTACCCCCAAACTGACAGCTGTTGGCAGGCATGTGGTGCCCCAGAGTGCCTCTGTGGGACCCAGTTACTCTTAGCTGCCTTCGAAGAGAAGGTGGGGGCAGCTGGAGGAAGGCCTCTATCCCTGACCTCAGCTGACTCCGACTCCCCATCCTGCTTCCTCCTTGGCCAGCTGGACTGGAGGTCATCTCCCCTGGCATTGAGTCTTACCCAGGCAGCCAGGAAGGGATGCAGGCTCAGGATAAACATAAACCCAGTGCTCCCTGAGACTGGTGCTTCTGTTCCTGCCCAGCCTTCAAGTGCCAGAGTGAGGGGGTGAGAGGGGAGCCCGGTAGTCTTCCTGATTGATGGCCACTGTCTAGCTGAGGGTGTTTGGTGTCAGCTGAGCTGAGCTAGCTTTAACAACAGGAAGTGGGAGGCTTCCCTGCCCCATCCGCTTACTGGGAACCAAAACTAGGTGCCTGGCTGGGAGGAAGGAAGCTGAGGCCTGGGGGAGGGATTGCCACTGGGGCTGCCTGGAGCCTCAGGCCCTGCCCTGGGGGAGGGGGAACACAGCCAAGCTGGATGGGGGTGCTGCTTCAGCATTTGTACTTCCCAAACAAGGAGGGGCAGAGAGGGACCCCAGGTTCCTTAGGAGTAAGCCTCGTTTATGAGTGATTTTATCCTTGAAAGTGCCTCTATTTCTGATAAGGAACAAGGGGACAGAACAGGATGCAAAGATAAGGAAGTTTTCCCCTTTTGAGAGGTGAAGGAATCAGTTCCCGTAGGACTTAGTGGAGAACAGACCTCCAAGTCAAGCCAGCAAGAAAAGTTTCAGTATAAGTCACCTGAGAGTAGGACTGGGGGCCTGCTCTCTCAACACCCTGGCATGTCACCCTGAGGGCATTTTCCTCCACCCTTTTCCCTTCTCCAGTGTTCAAGGTCAGACCATGTGGCAGAGCATGACATGACTATCCTATGTTGTCGTGTCATCACGTCCATCCATCCATCTGTCCGTTATCCCCCGCCGGTTACCTCTACCTCAGTGCCACACTATGTGCTGCCCTGTCAGTCCCCAGACTAAACACCTACTGCTTTTGTAGGCCTAGGCCCTCTTGGGTGAGTGGAGAGGGCAGGGGGAACCTTGGCCAGGCCAAAATCAGTGAAGAGTAATTAGTGAACCTGTGCATCTCATAGGAGAGTGTTGATGGAGGGCCCACTGTGTGTCTGGCTCCCCCATGGGTTTGGAGAGAGGTAGTGATCTTAAGGACCCTGGGGCTGTTTCTTGTTAGTTCATGTCCCTGGCATGGCTGTGGCGAAAAGAACCTACTGCCATGGAGTTTAGGGAAAAGGATCCCAGCATGGTTGTTGAGTAACTGAGTATTTATGGAGTTTATACTATGTGTGAGGCAGAGGCACCACTGGTGGCTCTGGAGGAGGCTGAGAAGATGAGGGGGGGAAGACTGGCCATAGTAGGAGATGCTGCCCTCATCCCTGGGTCCTCAGGAGCTGGAGCTAAGGCCTTAGGGACTGGCTGGGCAGAGTATGTGGACATGCTGGGCCTGGCTGCTCACTTCCTTCCATAGGAACCTCCCCCAGGCAGGTTCCCACATGCCAGGAAATGCTGGGAGTCCCCATGGGAGCTGTATGGGTCATGGCCTGGTGGCAGTGGCTGCTGAGTTGGGAGGAGTCTTTGTGTGGCCTGAGCTTGTCACTTTGTCTCTGCATGTGTTTCCACATTTGCACAATGAATGGGCTTATTGGATGTGGTGCCATCGAGAGGATGTGGATGACACCCTCTGTACCAGTTGTGGCCATGGTGGGTGATGACAGTCTTACTTATTTAAGCCTTTATTGGCTTAGGTCCCTATGGGAACACAGAATAAATAAGAGTCAGGATGGGTAGAAGAGGACACAGACGTGGGCAGGGGCTCAGCCAAAGCATGGTATTGCCCTCTGTCACCCCCATCTGCACTGCACCTGACCAGGTCCCTCAAGCATCAGGTAGTGTTGTCCAGCCATCAGTCTGCCTTCTGTGCTCCAGCCCACCTGCTGTGACCTTTCTGCCCACCCGTTTGCAGGGGTTCTTAGAGACCACTCCACCCTGACCTGTGTCCCTGTGTTTCAGATGAAGCCCGCTCCAAGAAGTGTGGTGTCTTGGTGCACTGCCTGGCAGGCATCAGCCGCTCAGTGACTGTCACTGTAGCCTATCTGATGCAGAAGATGAACCTGTCCCTCAATGATGCCTATGACTTCGTCAAGAGGAAAAAGTCCAACATCTCACCCAACTTCAACTTCATGGGGCAACTGCTGGACTTTGAGCGGACGCTGGGGCTGAGCAGCCCATGCGACAACCACACGCCCAGTGAGCAGCTCCACTTTTCCACCCCCACCAACCACAACCTATTCCCGCTCAACACACTCGAGTCCACGTGAGGCCTGATGCACAGATGGGTGCAGCACTGGGGAGTCTCCCAGCCCTCCCCAGGACCTGGTGGTGGGCCCTAGACCCCCCTGGCCCAAGGAACCCACAGATGTCACCTGTGTCCAGAGGACCAGGCTAAGCAGTGGCTGAGCTTCCTTGCCATCCTGTGGGGCAGGGCCCATGGAGGGCCACCTGTGGCAGGACCTGCTCGGGTGGCCTCAGCTTTCAGTATATGTGCTGCCAAAGCAAACATTGGCCTCGGCTTTCAGACACGACTTGGGGGCCAGCAGGGCCTTGTCTGCCCCAGGACACTCGTTCTGCCGATGGTCCGGCCATTCTGGCTATTTTTAAAGACATATCCATGGACCTGAGTTTACTTTTTACTTTTGGCAGGTAAATCCAAGCTCCCTGGAGCAAAGAGAGTGTTCAAACTCTTCTGGATTTTTATTTTTCTTTTTTTTTTTAACAGAAAGTGTTATTTTTCAGGCTACATGCAACAGTGGATTGTATAAACCAGTATTTCATCCCTTTCTTGATCTGCAAGAGAGAGAGAGAGAGAGACATGTTCTCAATTTCGTTTTTCTTCCTATTTCAAAAAGCAACCGTTGGTGTGTGTTCTTTGTGTTTTTAATGGAAAAGACAAACCACGTGTTCTTGACCAAATGCATTTTGCACATGTGTGAAGCCTCCGTTTCTTCAGCAGGCCCTTGAAAGGTGGCTTATTGCTGTCCAGGCATCAGGACCCCTGGTCATGCCATCTCCTACCCATGGCCCAGCCCAGCTTGATGCTGCATTTGTACTCCCTGATTGCTGCAAGCTGTGCTTGGTGAGCTGTAATGGTGGTCTTTCAGTTGTCTACCCTCCCATCACCCCTCTAGGAGTCCTGTAGACCTCGCCAAGGCAGAAGATGGCAGCTCTGCCATGTCCTGCTGGAGGTGAGGTCTCGGGAGTGCCAAGCAGTAGCATTAACCCTCTGGGCTCAGCCCCTAGGAGGGCTGGACCCTGGGCCCTTTTATAAACTTAAAATTTCTGTCTTTATCTCTCACGTTGGAACTGGGAATGGAGGCCCAGTGCCTCGGAAAAGTGTAGGTGGGGCACAGCCCTGCCTCCCCAGTCCTATTCCTCACCCTCACTATGGCTTTGGTTTAGCTGCCACTCTCAATCCCTTGTCCCCATGTACACTTTCATTGGTCTGTATTACCCATGCCTTCTACTTGGAAGAAACTTGCACCCAAGAGCAGTTAGGGCAAGGATGGGCCAGTGGAAGGAGTGTGAGGCTCTGTCTGCTACCCAGCATCCATAGCACAAAGCCATGGGTTCCGTTATGCTTCTCCAGTTTTGTTCCTTCTCAGTTCTCACCAGGCATCATGCGACCTGGGATGGTGTTGGGGGTGCTCAGGTCTCTAATGGAACCAGCATTGGCAGTGGGCAGTGAGTGAGGCCACAGAAATTCCACCCCACCATATCTTACCTCACAGGGGTAGTTTTCAGGGATTCTTTAGGGCAGCAGATTAAAATCTTGCCACAGTCGAGAAATTGACAAAAAACGTCCATGCTGTACATGGTATGTTCTCTCTCTATCATTTTAAAAATAAACCAGAAAGATGCATTGGATTTGCATAAATGAGGGTATGCCAGAGGGTGGCCAGTTTTGCTTTATGATCTTATGAAGGAAAATTTGTGACCCTACATACACACACACACACACACACACACACACACACACATATATATATATATATCCCGAGCCAGCAACGGGACTTTGTTTATATTGCAAATAAATATTATTTTTTCGTTAAACTGAGTCATGGTGTTCAATAGGGATTCGGGACTGGGAAGGTCAGGTGAAATTGTTGTTGCCTGCTTCTGGGAGGCCTGGGCTTGCCCTGCCTAGAGTCTACCAGGCACTAGCTTAGACCAATGGAGGTGCCCAAAGATAAGAAGGGAACAAACAGCCAGAGCTTCTGGATAGAGCCTTGATTGTCATCTTTAAAGCAGAACCAAGCTGAGGCTGAAGAGATGGCTCAGCGGTTAAGAACACTGGTTGTTCTTGCAGAAGACCCGGGTTCAAATCCCAGCACCCACATGGCAGCTAACAACTGTCCGTAGCTCCAGTCCCAGGGGATCCAACAGCTTCTTCTGACCTCCTCAGGTATTGCTGACATGGGTACACTGACCTACATGCAGGCAAAACACGTATACACATAAAATAATAAAGTTAAAAAAGAACCAAGCTCACAGAGACACCAAACTCCCTTATGTTTGGCATGGTGAATGCATGCTTACCTGAGGGCACTTATGTGCAGGGGGCAGTTGGAAACTGGCACTCAGGACTGCAGAGCATGGTGAGCCTCAGCCCTCTACCTAGGCTCACCAGGCTGCAGCTGAGAGCAAGAAAGGGGCCCCAGGGAATGAGAGCCCTAGTGGGCAGCAGCCAGAATAGGCTGCCTCCTTCACCTCTGGCTACATCAGGTGACCAACCACCAGGCAGAAACTTAGAAGCCCTCAGTTTCCCCTTCTGGCTCTCCTGTGCTTGGCCCCATTTGCAAGGTGGGCAGGACCAGAGGTGGGGGGCAGCCTCACTCCTCCCAGGACTTTCTCCTCAGTTACCCAAGCTCTCTTCTCAGCCTGTCCCTGGCTGCCCTGTTCACATAGGACCAGAAGGGTCACCACCTTCACAGCTTCGCATGTGTCTAGAGATAGAGGCCAAATTCTACTGCACCTTAAGTTCAACTGACCCCTGTGACAAAGCCTCCAGTGCTTGGGTCTTTAAGGTAGAGAACAAAATGGACCTGCGGAGTACCAGAGAAGAGGCAGTCTCAAAATGTTGCAAAAGGGCAGGTGCTACTTTTGCTGTTGATTTCCTCAGGCCCCTGGTCTTTCTGTGCCAGGGGCAAGCAGGGGTGGGGGCCTGAGCAGGCAGAGACTGCGCCTTTGTTCCCTCTACCCTTGCTTGGGGCTGGGGAAGCCCGCGGGTGCTGGGCTGGGGGCTGGGCCCTTGACAGGCCAAGTAAGTGCCTGGCAGTGCCTGTGTGTCCGAGGACAGTACCGGGGTGGGAGCGGCAGTCATTTCCTGAGCCGACTCCTCAAACTGAGGACTGACAGCTGGGAGTGCATGAAGGGGGCTAACCCTATCACTTCCCAGTCATGTCATCTTGGGCCTAGTAATCTTTCTGACCCTTAGTGTCTGCATCTGTAGAAATTCCTGCCTCAACACTGCCTGGCTAAGGCTCCCTGCTAGGACACAACAGACTTAAGTTTTGGCTGAATGGCTAGGGCCCTAGCTCCCTGCTCTGCAATGTTGGGCTAGGCCATGCAGCTCTGGATCCCAGACTCCCACCACATGGACCCTCACACTGACCTGCTGTTATTCTGCCCTGTCTTAGCCATTCATGGGTCCTACCCATTTTAAGCCATCCTTGGCTGGGTCCCTTGATACCAGCCTTCCCTGAACATTAGATGGACACTAGCTCTCACATTGTATCTTCTCTGTCATTCTGCCCTAAGTCCTCTCACCTATCCCTTAGTGCCACAGGGTCCTTGTGTACCTGCCGCCTCCTCAACCTCAGCCCCAGGGACTCGCCCACTTTGCTTTTTAGCATTCTCAGGGGAGGAGGATCCTAGCCACTTACTCACTGGCACATTCAAGCACCAGCCATTTCCTGTGCTGGCTGGGCAGTTCCAGGAATGGGAACATGCCTGGGGGAAAGCTCTGTGATGTCAGTCTGGGTGGCAGGATAATGGGGGCCCTCAACTTGTCCTCTGATAAATGAATCAGATTGCAACAGTCAAGAGTGACTAAGGCTGGACACCAAGAGAAACCTGAGGCACTGTGGACCAGTCACCTTGAAGGAGGTGTGTGTGACAAGAAGACCACCACAGAGAGATGAACATTTCTCTAAGCCGGTCCTGTTCTGAGTCTGGGTTGGACGAGGCAGCCTTCAGAAGAGAGGCCACACCACCTGCTACCTCCATGCCCCCCTTCAAGATTGAAAAACACTTATGCCTCCTGAATGACTTGAGTCAGGAGTGGTAGCAGGTTCCTAATGGCTTCTGTCCTCTCCCTGCCACCTCACTGCCCAACAAACTCGGGCACTGGTCTGCTCTGTGTGTTCGTGTCTGGGTTATCAGCACATATATCAGTCAAAAGCTACAGGGTCTGTGCAGGAGTCCAGCTTGTCTAGGTCACCTGAGTGCATGGAGGGCATCAACTTCTGGCTCTTGACACCTTACTTGCTGCTTGTTCTGGTTTCCTCCAGGACACAGTGTTTCTCACTCCAAAAGCCTCCTGGGACTCACTGGTCCTATCCTATGCTTGAGACCTAGCAGAGCCAAGAGCCCCACGAAGCCTCAGAATCTTCTGGCGTCTCCACAAAGGCTAAGAGGGTAGTCACAGAGTGAGTGATGCCCTCACCCACCCACCCCCACCCCTGCTGCTAGTCTTTTCTCCATCAGACTGGGAACCCTCTCCCTCAGGCCCCGTGAGAGGCCAGGCACACTCACACGTGTGCGCACGTGGCCTCCTCATTTCTCAGGCTGAACAGGTTCAAACAGGTCCCAGAGCGGCCGAAGAGAGCCAGCTTCTCACTGCAACCTCCTCCCGCTGAGCCCTGGGTGACATCACCCCTTCCCAGGCCTGGACATTTTAATGCCCAGCATTACTCTGTCTGAACCAGATGAACCCCAAGGTGACCAGATTCCAGCCCACAAGGTGCCTAGCTGGCCAGTCTCGTCCGCAGGGTTGCCTACCGCATACATCCAGGGGCACTGTACTCGGTGGAGCTTCTGCGCATGTGCAGGGGCTCCAGGGGCCCCTCCATGGCCACACCTCCTCTTACCTGGGGGATTGCAGGCAAAGGAACAGGAGTAGCTGTTTTTCCCAAGGACCTGAGGCCCAGGGAGGAATCCTTTTATGGGAGCCAGAGGCCCCCAAGGGACCTCAAGCCCAAGGCTGCCAGGGTCTGAAGGTCTCTGTCAGATGCCCTAGGTGCTGAATGGGAAGTACCCTGAAGGGCAAGTGTGCAGGTCAGGGGACAGTGAGGAGGCCAGGCAGTCATTCAGGGTGGGTTAAGAGGCCTGGGCAATGTGGCCTAGGAGAAAGGACCAACAAGACTTGGCCATATGGAAAGTAGATGCCAGAATGTGAGCAGAGTGTCCCAACTTGTCTGGCTCTGTGACGGGGCCTGAACACCAACCTTGTGGGTCCAAGCCTTAGGAGATGCTCTTGGGTCTGGGAAAATGATCTAGTCAGTTATGTGTTTGCCAGTGCAAGTGTGAAGACCTGAATTTGGATCCCCAGCGATGTAAAAGTCAGTCAGTGTGGTCCGCCTCTGTAATCCCTGCACAGAGAGACGGGAGGATCCCTCGAGTTTGCTGGCCAGACAGTCTAGCCGAATCAGTGAGCTCCAAGTTCAGTGAGAGACCCTGTCTCAAAAAAAATAAGCTAGAACAACAATTAAGGAAGACACCCAACATTGACCTCTGGCCTATGCACACATGCACATACAACACATGCACACACATGAATATGTACACACATAGACACTGCACACATACATATACACTAAAAGAAGATGGAACTGAGTGTGGTGGCACAGTTCTTTAATTCCAGGACTCGGGAGGCAGAGACAAGCAGATCTCTGTGAGTTCCAGGCCAGCCTGGTCTACATAGCAAATTCTAGGCCAGTTGGGGCTACATGGAATCCCTGTTTCAAAAAAAAAGATGTATTTTAGCCAGGGCATGTGTGGGTCATGGTGTCACACACTGAGCACCCAAACTGAGACAATGTCCTTGGGGTTCTGTACTTTTCTGTTTCCCAGGACAGCATAACCCTGATGGCCCTTCTCAGAACCTTGAGAATGTAAGCCATGGAAATGGTCATTTACCTGGGACCTCCCCACCCTTGCTGAGGGGGTACTTTTTGGGGACAGCCACTGCTAATTCACTGAGTGACCTTTGGCAGTTCACCCCCATGTCCTCATCCCAGTTCAATGAGGATAATGATCTGGAGAGAACTTACCCTCAAACTCAGACCCTTAGTCTCATCCCAAGGGCTGAACAGCCTGGCCTCTGTACCCAAGAGGAGCCCAGGATCCAATGTCCAGTCTAAGAGAACTAGTGTTGGAGGCCCTTGGTAGGGATGAGGGCTACTCCGGCAAGGTATGGCCAAGCCAGCCCCTTCCTCAAAGCCAGCAGACCCCTTTCCTTCACTGCAATCCCTTCAGAATGTGTTCCTTCTGTCTCCATGCTCCTCCTCACTGCTCAGGGGATGCCCTCCTTTGCCCGGTCCAGAGGAATACAGAGCACTCTTGGCGAAGGGCACCGCCAGGGAGCCTCAGCCCCTGGTCCCAGCTCTACTGCCCGCTCCTCCATGCTCTGGTCTTCAGCATGGATTCTAGCTGTTCTTGTGGGAAAAGGACTTGATCCCAGCCCACTTCCTTCCAGCTCTGTCTTTGGCTCCCTTAATTTCCTTATGTACTGCTCTCACTCTCCCTGTGGCTTCCCAATCTGCCCACCCCAAGCCCAGATCCTCTAGGAGCCCCCTCTAGGCCCTTCAACCCTGGTCAAGACCTAGTTTCTTCCTATAGCAGC